CCTCCCTTGACTGGGACACCCCTGTGTGACCTACCGCCTCGTCCCATGCATCCCAAACCTTTATATAAGCAGCCCACGTGCCAGGCGCCAAAGAATTTCTTATGAATCCTCCAAGCATGACGTCCCGAGCCACCCTCTGGACAGGCCTGTCCTTCCTTTCATGTTCCTGGAGCCACCATCTGAAACCGTTCCCACTGTGAACGAGACAAGGAATCAGCCAACACGTTTAACAAACCAGGCACGTGACGTGCCAAAAAAATATTACAAACATATAAAACAATAACGTAATAAGCGTACCACCGGGACCGAAGATGCAGATAAGCGGTTAACCGCATGAACCACCAATATATTGTAAAAAAGATAACTTTCCTGTCCCGCAGCACCTCCCCCCCTCAACGCTAAAGTCATCACCAACGGGAACAACTCAAGAAATGGAAAATTACGGATAAAAGGACTTCCTTTCCAGGCCTAAGGCCACTGAGCAGCACACAACCTGCCCGCCAAATATGCCCTAAAACCTATGCTCCCCAAAGCATCCGTGAACAAATCAATATCCGCCGAAGAAGCCGCCTCTTGACAAAAGAAGACCAGTCCGTTGAAATCACATAAAAATGATTCCCAGACCCACAAATCCGCCTTCATGGACCCCGTGACCCTGACAAAGTGACGTTGAGAACGGACTCCACAAGTTGCCCTTGCTAGAAAACAGCTAAAAACTCTACCCATGGGAATTACCCTACACGCAAATTTCAGACTGCAGCTCTCTCAACGTAACCTTCCTGGACCCTCTAACACGCACCACGTGCTCCCGAACTTATCTCTAGGCAGCCGACATTCCCATGTCACTGAATCAATCTCCAAGCCAAGAAAACTGAGAAAAGTGGTAGGGCCCACTGTCTTGTTGGCTGCCAGGGGTACCCCAAACGAATGAGCCACCCATTCCAAAGACCACAAGGTATGGCCACAACAGTCCAACCCGGCAGTGCCCACACACAAGAAGTCATCGAGAAGAACCCCCACCCGATTCCTCCTTCACCACT